AATAGGAATAATCATAAGAATGAGTCCAGTGAACAACTTTGATCACGCCCTAAACATGTGCTGAGATGGTATTCATGCTAAAGAGAGTGAGTTAAAAGTGAACGTCGCTAATTATTTCAGCCATATATCGACCCTTGTGTTAAACATGTTGTCTTAATATACTAGCTACATAGACGGCATTAAACCGGACTGGTACAAGCTCACATGCACGCCCATAGTACTATAAATCTGACAGCGATGTTCAAACCAAGTCCACTTATTCATCCTGTCTAGATATTGGGAATGTGGCGGCCATGTGGATGTCAATATTTGACTTAGTTTGTGAACAAAGGGGAGTGGTGGAGTAAACAAGCGGATAAAGTGTTCGGTCGATACGCCGAAGACGCCGGTTCGATTCCTTACATGATTACAATGTGTGAAGCTCATTCATGGTGTGTCTCGTCGTGATATTGCTGGAATATTGCTAAAAGCGGCGTGAAACCACACTTCCTGAACTAAGAACAAAGTCAAAATTGCATATTGCGTAGTAATGACTAAACAAATATCTCTCCCGGCATCAAGATTACTTCACTCTGAGCAATATGCAATATTCCACCTACATGACGGCGACCAGTAAATAGTCGACAATCTGGTATCGCTATGTTAAACATGCTAGGGATACGATGTAATCAACCAAATTACCAAAACTTTACGTTCCTCAGTGGCGGTTGCTTAGCGTTCGTTCGCCACGCCGAAGGCCCGGGGTTCGAATCCCCACATGGGTACAATGTGGGAAGCCCATTTCTGGTGTCCTCCGTCGTGATATTGCTGGAATATTGCTAAAAGCGGCGTAAAACCCAACTCACTCACTCACTCACTCACTCACGTTCCTGAAGACCTTGACTAACTCATTCGTGTTTGGTTAATTATTATTATTATTATTATTTATATTTTTTACAGATTAAAGATAGTATGCAGCAGAGAGGGTTCGGGTGATTATCATTATGATGATGCTAACATTTGTATAGCGCCGATATCCAAATCAGCTGCTCAAGGGCACTTTGTTTTTCCCTTGAAAGAACAACACAAATAGCTTACGGCACTGGGTGTTTTGAGAGGCACGATAACCGTTGACATATGTTACTGGATATCTATGTTTACTCGGAATGCACGGAGAGTTGACAGACAAATTGGGTTGAGTAGGACCCCGTAGCATATCAGGCTCAGTTGGAAGGGCCACGCACACCGCTCTGACCCCACCTGATGTGTATCGAGCTATTGATGGCCAGCATGTTTGACCAGGTCTATCATATTTCATTGATCAAACACAGAGCACTGGTCGTGGTGTTTCTTTACTTATCGTTCTAGTAAAATGTTAGCTGGAGGTATTAAGGGTATGTTTGCCGGAGTGATCAGGTACATGTCCCAGCTTTGGTCGGTCTTGTGAACTGGGCGTCCTGACTGAATCGCCCGTATTTACCACAGAACGGGTCCAGATGGCTTCTCGGGTGATAACCGCACGTTAGGGTTGCAAGACACCTTAATTCAAAAGAGGCCTGGTTGGAGACATACACTACGAATGAAGGCTTAAACACCAGATTCGTTCATTCATTGAAGTTAATCCTCCAATCAAAATGGAAAAATCCAACAACATTAGATGGTCTGTGCAGTAGAATGGTTGGAGTTGTAATGGGTGCAAGAAGTGCGTGTGTATATCCACCGCGGTGATATTCCTGTGGTAAATGCAAAGTGATTGTGCAACCCAACTCACTCCATTCAATGTGCTTTAGTGTCTTCATGTTTAGGTTGGCTCAGTGTGATTTGGTGCTAATCCCCAAGCACTTGGTGTAGGTACGGGACGTATGTGGAATGCCAAGCTTCGGGAGTAAAGCCAGTTTTATGTATGTGTAGTCAGTAGCACACGCATTCATTGTTAATAACCAAAGTTCATTTAACCTTGCACTGCGATGATGTATCAACATGTTTTAAATACGTTCCTCGCGTCGGGAACAACATCTCCAACTACTGGAGTGTGTGAGTGAGTTTAGTTTTACGCCGCTTTTAGCAATATTCCAGCAATATCATTGTTGGGGACACCAGAAACGGGTTTCACACATTGTACCCATGAGGGGAATCGAACCCGGGTCTTCGGCGTGACAAGCGAATGCTTTAACCACTTGGCTACCTCACCACCCCACAACCACTGGAACGTCTGAAGCTGCAATAGTACAAGGCTCTTCCCACCAATATACGTACACCAATGTTTTCAAGAGGTTCAATTTCAAATTTCCGGAAGGCATTTAATGACTGAATTAAAAAGCTGTTGTAAGTAGCTGGACTCATTACATATGTTCTGATTTTCTTCCAGTAATTTACATTTTTAAATCATTTCAACTTGCTCTTCAGTTATTCTGAAAATGCGACCCATGAAGATCTAAAAGTTAGAATTGGTCTTCAGTGACCCATGCTTGTTGTAAGAGGTGAGGTGAGGTGAAATTGGGTTTTACGTCGTGCTTGAGAATATTTCGCTCATATGACGACGTGCATGCGTGTGTATGTGTATGTGCGGCTGCTTGTACTAGCCTAGACTGAAGCTGGTTTTATAGTGCTAGCCCACTGAGGTACCATGCCACAGTGAAGCATGAATACCCCACTCAGACACATTATACTGACTCCGAGCCGACCAGTCCTTGTTGTACCCATTAATGCCGAGCGCCAGGCAGGGACCAACAAGTACCATATTTTAACGTCTTTTGGTATTATGCGGTCGGGGATCGAACCCGCGACCTTCCGCTCTCCGGGCGGACGCTCTAACCACTACACCACGGAGGCAGTCTGTTGTAAGAGGAGACTAACTTGATCGGGTGGTCAAGCTAGCTGACCTATTTACTGACCGCCGCTATTATAGCTTGAATATTGAAGAGTGTGGCGTTAAACAACAAACAAACGAACAATATTCTCAAAATGCACGATATTTCTCTATAAAGAGACTCGATATGAACAATAGTAAGTATATATTTCTACATGATGACGTCACATTGTAGTTAGATTGTTAAATTGTAGTGTCAGCGTTTGTTATTTGTGGAGCAAGTTTTGGTTGCTTTGACTCTGGAGACAAACTGCACTCCACAATCCCCCAAATTAACAACAGTTCAAGGCCTCCATTGCCCATCAGATTCTACATTTCAGCATGGGTGAGTGAGTCTGAGTGACCATTCTGTTTCAGGTATATCACTTTTGAAACATATGTTACATATATTATTATATTATACCACGGCTGTACGTGAATATCTGAGTCAGGTAATACAGCTACTGGAAACGGAAGCTTAATATGACATCGTACATTAACAATGAACGGACTTCCTTTTAACCCATGCCCTACAGGGACCTTATCAACGATTCTTGTTCCGGTCGATGTACAATTCTTTTTTTGTTAGTTGTTCAATGCAGCACTCAGCTGAATGACGACGAACTCTAAACAATCTCGTCTGGACCCGACCGTCACTCCATTGATATCATGGACATCGATCCACACAATTGGGATTCGATAACATATGTCAACCATGCCAGCGAGCCTGACATCCAGATCCCGTTAGTCGCCTCTCGCAGACATGGGTCACTGGGGACCAATACTAACCGGATCTTCACGGTTCCTTTTGAACATTTAAAAATTACAAGCCCGTAAGGAATTATTGTCATCGTTGTATTATTTACCTAGTACCTAAACGCATAGATCGCTGTGTTGTCAATGTATCCCCACTCACACTTTTCAAAATTGGCAATGAATAATTAATGATATCTTTTCCCTTCTAATGCATTAAATGTGTTCAGGGAACTAATATATACCACTCGAATCTAAGATTCGCAATACTGAGTCTCATTTTATATGACTAAAATATCATGAGAGCCAATTATGTACATCATGGAATGATAGTTGTATCAAACAGTAAGTAGATATACCCATGGAAACAAATAGGGGGACACATGAAAGTACAAAGGACAAGACAAAATGAAAATATATTTATTCACCCACCTCGTTTACATAAATAGCCAATAGAATTCTATGTAGAACAAATACGTCGATGTAAAACAACGTTAAAATGGCAGTGGTCCAGTGTGCGACACACACACACACACACAGACACACACACACACACACACACACACACAGACACACGTTATAATGGAGTTTTAGAGGTCATAGCTCCTCCATTATGCTCAGCTATTGTGGCTTAACGTGTCTATAAGGGCAGCTAGTGCTCCCAGTTTATACAGGACACTATAGGACATTGTTCCCAGTTTATACAGGGCACTGAAGGACATTGTTCCCGGTTTCTACAGGGCACTGAAGGACATTGCTCCCAGTTTCTACAAGGCACTGAAGGACATTGTTCCCGGTTTCTACAGGGCAATGGAGGGCATTGTTCCCAGTTTCTACAGGGCACTGAAGGACATTGTTCCTAGTTTCTACAGGGCACTGAAGGACATTGTTCCCGGTTTCTACAGGGCAATGGAGGGCATTGTTCCCAGTTTCTACAGGGCACTGAAGGACATTGTTCCTAGTTTCTACAGGGCACTGAAGGACATTGTTCCCGGTTTCTACAGGGCCATAGAGGGCATTGTTCCCAGTTTCTACAGGGCACTGAAGGACATTGTTCCCAGTTTCTACAGGGCACTGAAGGACATTGTGCCCAGTTTCTACAAGGCACTGAAGAGCATTGCTTCCAGTTTCTACAGGGCACTGAAGGGCATTTCTCCCAGATTCTACAGGGCACTGAAGGACATTGTTCCCAGTTTCTACAGGGCACTAAAGGACATTTTTCCCAGTTTCTACAGGACACTAAAGGACATTTTTCCCAGTTTCTACACTGCACTGAAGGACATTTCTCCCAGGTTCTACAGGGCACTGAAGGGCATTGTTCCCAGTTTCTGCAGGGCACTGAAGGACATTGTTCCCAGTTTCTACAGGACACTGAAGGGCATTGCACCCAGTTTCTACAAGGCACTGAAGGGCATTTCTCCCAGTTTCTACAGGACACTGAAGGACATTGTTCCCAGTTTCTACAGGACACTGAAGGACATTGTTCCCAGTTTCTACAGGGCACTGAAGGACATTGTTCCCAGTTTCTACAGGACACTGAAGGACATTGCGTCCAGTTTCTACAGGACACTGAAGGACATCGCACCCAGTTTCTACAAGGCACTGAAGGACATTGCGCCCAGTTTCTACAAGGCACTGAAGGACATTGTTTCCAGTTTCTACAGGACACTGAAGGACATTGCGTCCAGTTTCTACAGGACACTGAAGGACATTGCACCCAGTTTCTACAAGGCACTGAAGGACATTGCACCCAGTTTCTACAGGGCACTGAAGGACATTGCGCCCAGTTTCTACAAGGCACTGAAGGACATTGTTTCCAGTTTCTACAGGACACGGAAGAGCATTGTTCCCAGTTTCTACAGGACACTGAAGGACATTGTTCCCAGTTTCTACAGGGCACTAAAGGACATTGTTCCCAGTTTCTACAAGGCACTGAAGGGCATTTCTCCCAGATTCTACAGGGCAATGAAGGGCATTGCACCCAGTTTCTACATGGCACTGAAGGGCATTATTCCCAGTTTCTACAGGACACAGAAGGGCATTGTTCCCAGTTTCTACAGGGCATTGAAGGGCACGGTAGATGACGCCTTCGTTCCTCACGCCTAATTATCTGGTTCTATTACTGATATTTCCTTCCGGGCACATCCTTGATTGTCTCTGTAGTGTTTTAGATGGCAAATATGTAAACATTATGTTTCATCCTGTCGCTCACACACTTCACTCTAAATAGGGTAGGGGTGGAGAAGAATGGGAGTTTGTATGGAAATTACATACTTGTTTAGCTTCAGCTGCCAAACCAGATCTCCTTTTCCTTCAGACAGTATAGGCCTGAATAGTTCATAAGGACATAACACATTGCAACAGTGAATTTCACCTGTTCCAAACCAATTCCTCCCATACACGCTTGCACACTCTCACACACACGATTGCATACTCACACACGCCAGCAAGTTAACACACACTCTCTCTCACACACACACACACACACACACACACACACACACACACACACACACACACACACACACACGCGCGCGCGCGCGCGTACGTTTACACAGTCGCATATTAACACACAGAGATGTACGCACGATAGCACGCACACATAAACACAAGAATATTCCGTTTGTTGTTACTGTTTGACCCACATGACATCATTCGGCCATGATACGTAGCTTGAGTGAGGAAGCTGCCTGACTCTGTTCATCCACATAGGTTTGAATGCTTTGTTGACAAGGAAATCCCTTAGTTTGGGAGCATTTGCAGTCTTTTTTATTTGAAACCATTCCATTAGAATATTGCGGACATCAACTTTAGAAAACAGTTGGGTACCTTCTTTCAAGACTTCATATTCATGGTTTTCAACATCAATCTTGACAAAGGCTTTCGGGAAATCAACAAATTGCAAGACGTCGTCAAGACGAACAGTGGAGATGAAGTTTGGGTTGTAGTTGTCGTTGATGTCAAACGTTGTGTTCGGGACATGTTTGATAACGGTACCTCCTATGTTTGCTTTTTGACGTTTGAAGGTGACAGTCTTGTAGTCGTCAGAGAGCGCTGCAAATAAAATAGTGATCCGGTCAGCCAGTTTTGCCTCCTGTGCAGTTGCACACAGTCTCAATACGTTCTCCACAAGCGGGTCGACAGCGACCACGTGGCGGCCCATCAACGCAGCCGTCAAGGAATACGTCCCTAGCTGGGACCCAAGGTCAAGCATACCCATATCAGGGTTGTCTCTAAGTGTTGAGATCATTGTTTGAACTCCCCCAGATTCCCACATTCCAGATCTCTGAATGGACCCGGAAACATGGACGTCGTCCTTAACGTCATGGATATACATCTTGATAGTACCCGCCGAGCTTCGGAGTTGGGCGAACTTTAACCCTTTCACTGCGGAACAGAATCCAGGAATCCTAACCCATTTGCCTCGTTTCCAACGGTACACGCCGGTCTCCTGTTTGGGAATCACGCCGGTCTCCTGTTTGGGAATCAGGGTAGTTTTAACAGGGATTGTCAAGGGCTGGGTGTTAGGAATGACACGTACTTCGTCATGAAGTGCGAAGCGTGGATATACATGGTGAGGCAGGAAACGGTTGATGAAGAAAAGAATTACTAATGATACTCCAAAACACAACAGACACCGCCATCTATTGCACAGGCGAGCCATTGTAACAGGCGTTGACTCCTTACAGAAATGCTATAAGCTGGTCGTTCGCTGGTCGTTCTTCGGGACGTCAGCATTTCCTGTGAAGGATGAATATCTCAATAAATACGCCAAACAAATACTTTTGCCAATTGCGGAAATAATCAATGCCATGTCACGTAGCTAAGCAACGGTTGGAGTAGTATTGTCAGCATAACAGCCTTAGTAGTAAAGATGGGTGGCTGTATCATTGGACGCGAATTTGCCGTGTATAACTGTACATTACTTTGATCGTCGTTATGGTTTGATGGCCGTTACATATCTGACAACGGTAAATATATCTGCTCAAATAATAAACTGTCTTAATTTGTCTTCACAGTCTCAACTCACCTGGTTAATTGTGCCACCGTCTGCAATCATATACTCTTAGACGAACATGCCGAGGTGCCCTCCTTGCCCCCAGCTGGCTCATTGGTTGATAGGTGTAACCAGACTGCCGCAGATAACACGATAACATTCGCCGCGACCTATTTCTTCAGTGCGCAGTACAACGTGTGTCTCTCCGGCTTAGCGACAACACCAGGAAAAGGAAACATCACGAGGAAATCCTCTCCATTCTCTGTAGTGTGATCTCTCTGTTGTGTTTCGTGATACACTGTAGAAATGTCTATTGTGCTAGGGCCATCATGGTCACGTGACTATGGCGCTATGTCCCACCCTGAATACACGTCTTGATACAAACCCTCAACACAATCGATTGCCAACAGGCAGGTCTCTCACGCCAAGATTGCGTCTGGGTGGGTATTTACTGTGCAAACACCTGTCACCTGACACGGCAATGGCAAATATATTGAAGTTTCAAGCAGACGCTGAAGTATGGATTGAGTCATTGCATCGAAAGGGAGTGAGTGAGTCTATTATTACGCCGCACTCAGCAATATTCCAGCTATATGGCGGCGGTCTGTATATAATCGAGTCTGGGCCAAACAATCCAGTGATCAACAGCATGAGCATCGATCTACGCAAATGGGATCGATACGATGACACGTACCAACCAAGTCAGCGAGCCTGACCACCCGATCCCGGTAGTCGCCTCCTATGACAAACACGGGTTACTGAAGATCAATTCCAACCCGGACCTTCACGGGTCGAGAGTGGGGGAGATCGTGAGAAAGCGTGAAAGGGAGTGTGGTATATATTAGTCAGTTCAATTTATTTAAGTCAGTGTTATCTTTAAACGTAACGTCTTTTAGCGCCGCCTGGTAGCCTTGGGTTTGACATATCAGAAGAATGAACCAGAAAATGTTTACTTCATATTATTACAAATATGTGTATTACGATAGTAATAAAATGTATAATTTCACATAAGTATATATAACAAGTGCCCCAAAGTTAACGGTCAAATATATGTAAATAGAATGAACTATGTTAGTCATAAATTAGATGATCTGATTATTTGACCTGCAGTCAATATATTTTTATCTGAGTTGCGTTTTAGGCAGGGTGAGCGGGAGAATGGGGAATGAAAGATTGTGTGGGTTTAGTAATATAGGTCAATTTGAACACGAATCTGATTTTTGTAACGTTTATCAAAACTGACAAGCATAAGACACTACATTTGCATTACATCCCAGTGAATATTGGACAAAACAGTCAACAATGTTTCATCACTACAACCAATCCACTAAGTTCAGCCACCCGATCCTCCGTCTTCTTTCCCTGCTTTGTCCGCTTGTTAGTTTTCCTCTTGTACGGCGAGCGTCTGTAACTGATGGTGTCGTGACCCGACAGTCCAGCTATTGGCACCGTTAGCATTGTTCTACGATATTGTGGTTCGGTTCCACACTTTGGTACAATGCGTAAGATCTTTTTTCGTGTGTCGCCCCGTATTGGTTGTGCTGTCATGTTGCTAAAGACGGCGGTACCGCACTGACGGGTTTTGTCCACATCAGTGCGGGCATATGTCTTAATTACGTTCTCCTAACATCGTCCATTCTCGCTGAAAGCCTTGTGAACAACCCTGGCCTGCCTACGTGCCTGATGTTGCTGACTGCCTCTAACTTGGCTACAGGATGAAGGTCGTGTCACGCCTATAAAATGTGTCAACATGCCACGACCATACATATCACTGATACCACGCACACATAAATCGCGGCTGGATTACTGACAGTAGCATATGTTATATACTAAGCAGCAAAATAACGTCAGTTTGGATTTTCCTTAACAGAAACGGATAACTGTAAACTCATTTAATGATTTGATTGTATATTTTTTGACAACATCTCCAACTTTACCTGAGCCTAGATATTCCTTCCTAAACTCAGAATGGAACCCAGGAAATGGTCTCAAAAACGCAATCTGATCCCGGAGATGGTACGGTGTTCTCCATGTTTTTCATGCAACTCATGCTGCACGTGCTGTTCATAAGGACCATCCTATAAAATGCACCCCCAAACCTGGTTGAAACATTCACATTACAATGTCAGCAGGATGCCGCGAATCACGGCAGCTAACAGGAACCAGGCGCTAGGAAGACTTGAAGCTGGCCACACTGCACAAGCCGTTGCCAATAACTTCCAGGTCAACGAACCTTGGTCCAGGGAGAGGAGGCAGCATCGCAGCGGTGCGCTACATCGACCAAGCTCTCAGACCCTACGTCATACCACATTTCGCACGTCTCCGGAACAACATTGCCCAGCATGATAACGCCCGGGCCCATACTGCCAGAGCTAACAGGACTTCCTACAGCAGAACGGTGTCAACATTATGCAGTAGCCAGCCCTTAGTCCTGATTTAAACCCAATTGAAGATCTTTGGGATGAAATTCAGAGGAGACTGAATAGTGTCATACCAAGGCCGAACACAGCCGATTTATTGCGTCGGGCCTGTGGTTCAAGGTGCCAATGGCCTTCATCAATCGATTGGTGCACTCAATGCATAGACGCTGTGCTGCAGTTATCACCGCTCGTGGTGGTCACACTAGATACTGAAGTCAAGGGTCTGAATGGACTGCAAACGTTCACGTAATGTCTTGAGTTATTCATTGATGTGTCAAGATATTGTACACAAAAACTGTTTTCGATCCGCTTATTATGTCCATTTCTGTAATGATTTGATTACAGTGCCTATCTAATTTTGAATTCGTACTGACGTTTCTTTTGCTGCTGAGTATATTTGGGATTACACTTTCTTAGTAAATGTTACATTTGACCACTTTCTAAAATGGCATTGTGGATTACTGACAGGACAATCTTCCACAGCGAGTTGCTGTCTTGGTTTAAGAGACTATTTGGTCCTGCAACGGATCCGAGTTTGAATGTATTTCCCGCAACGTGCATATCAGTGTCCAATATGAATCACTGATTTTCTGGTCCACTCCTGCTTACTTACTCGTACAGTTTGAACACTGCTGGCTACGAAGTAACATGAAAAATCCATAAGAATATATCGTATGGTCACATGTTTTCGCTCGAGATGTTTTCCGCTCACCATTTTGAATCAGTTTTTGGCGATTCTTCAGGATCTGTGACCTCACCGGCATCTGTTATGTCAACTTCCCCACTGCCTCTTCAGTGATAAAGTACTACAAGAATCATCTACAAGATACCTTTTGATTAAATTTTAAAAAGTGTTAGTGCTGTCAAATACGTAATTGATAGATCGTACGCTTGGCGTTGATATCTCATTCACCATTGCGAGGCTCAGTGGATGTAAATGGCAAGCCAATGAGACTAGCGAAAACACATGACGTCATTCAAAAGTGTCATGGCCACACTCGGGACTTTCGCTTCACAGTCCTTCATAATATACATCTGAATAAAATATATTTATTAATATAAACATGTAGGTGCCACGTTAGAACTAGTATTATTCGTTTGCAATAACTTTATGTTTGTTTCTTATTCGAGCGACACAACAGCTCTTGGCTGTATTTTGACAGTTACAAAGGAATGACATGAACAGAAGTATGAGATCATTAGCATACTGAACTTCCATGATTGTGGGTCAATTGCATCTACGACATTTCAGACCCACCTTGAGTGTTGCTTGTCATGAGCAGGTGCAGATTAAGCCACTGGTTGAGCTCAGGCGTGTGTTTAGGGTAGTGGTCTAGAAGCCAGGGGTGTGATTTTTGAGCACATATATAATATCATTGTCCACAATTTAATCATTAACTGAGCATGCCAAAACTACTATTTTGATGGAAATCGGTCAATCCGAACCAGAGTTGTTAAATTAAACCATCCAGTTATCGGTTAAGATATTACCAGAACTGATATATGTTGCACCTTAAAAGGGCCCTTGCACGGTAGCTACGCACGGTAGCTGATGACAACCGGCTTTAAATCAAAGCTAAATCATTCCTGATTGTGAAAAATCACATCCCACTTGATAGCCAGAACTGCACCACATTTTCACCATTTTGGGGGTCTGGCTTCTAGACCATAGACATTTGCATCACATTCAGGTTTGCACTTTCCATAGTTTTGTGCGGTGTTAAAGAACAACCAAACAACCAAAATCTGTTTCCTTTTACGTCCGCTTCTTCTCTCACTATTACTCCTGGTTGTCCTCCCAGTATTATCTCGTGGACGTACCTGAGGCGAGACTTGGACACTTTCACATGTCACTTTCTGCCACTCCAGTATGTTAGGAGAAACGTATTTAGTCCTTTGTCTGACCATCAAATCACATTGATGTCACATATTTTGACAGGTATTTTATACCTGTCTTCTGTATGGTAAGCTGATAAATATTTTAAGAGATCTAAATTATGAACGTAATCAATTGTGAATTCTCTATGATATCAAAAGGTATATTACTAACTGAAACACTGACTAAAACACCATCCCGTAAGTACGATTTTAGTGAAACATCTGTTCAAGTTAGTTGAACGTTATTCATTTATCTTATCATATGTCAAATGTCGTAAATATGTGTCGTAAAATCCCTCCTTAGCCTATTGTTAATTTCATCTACATAACCTAACAACGTCAGAACAGCATATTTAGCAGTGAAAATTACACTGGAACATTAATTTATATACTTTTTTTTCTTCTTTTTCCAGCAAAATCAGGTTACAAGCCTAAACAGAACTTTTTTTCAAGTTTTATGCAATTGGAAACCAGATACGTTAAAGAGAATCTGTATGGTTAGGACATATGAAGAAGGCTGTCTCAGAATGATTGACCTTATAGCTTTTATTCAAGCCCTGAAGTTATCCCATTCAAGAAGATGTATTCAAAGTCCTAATGTCAAGAACCCAAGTTACTATCCTATAGGTGAAATATTCACACCGGGTGCCAATGTTGATACTTATATTTACTGTAAGAACCCGTATTGGCAAAGTGTTTTAAAGGCTTGGACAAACCATGTAAGAAAAGAAAAGGACATTTTGTCCCAACCCCTATGGCTCAATCATGATTTTAAACATAAAACATTTTTAAAACATTGGCACAGTAAAGGAATTTCGTTTGTAAAAGGCATATGCAGCAAAAGTGGTTTAATGACTTTTGCTAAACTGCAAAATATTTATGATATTGGCGGTACATTTTTAGGTGAGTATTGTGTACGAGTGGTATTCAGGGTTGTGTGTGAATGGTATTGTGTGTGAGCGGTATTCAGGATTGTGTGAGAGTGGTATTGAGTGTTGTGTGTGAGTGGTATTCCCATGCTTTTTAATGAAATCCCATTATATATTTTAAAGTATTGTATTTCAAGGACGCGCATAGATTTTGCAACCTCCAAGAAACAGCAAACGAAGACGTTTCAAGTTTTAATCT